ACATTTCCAGCTCCTAAGCAAATAAGTAACTGAAAACAATTAAGTTCTGGGAGATCCTATGAGCAGGGCCACTCTAACATGAACCCTAGGCAGTCAAAAAAAAAAAAAAAAAAAAAAATGAAAACGCCCGCTCCTCAGCTGGATCATGATTTGGGTGATGCTACCATTGAAGATTCTGTTGGCCCTGATCCAAAACAATCTGGACAGTGACACTGTGTTTCTTCTGTGAAGAAGCTACCACAATGTGGAAAATTGCCCTTACAAAAATGTGTCATTTTCATTACTTTAAGAAATTAAATTATGTTTTAATTTCCTGGGGTTTATTACACACTTACTTACTGGTAAACTATACTATTACCAGGATTCATGGTGTGTTTTGTTTGTGTGTGTGTGTGTGTGTTGGCAAAGTAAGAAACATGAGAGATAAATGTAATTTAAGCATAACATGAAATTAAATTGTGTTACAGCAAAAATAAATTAATGTATTTATTGATTTTTTTTTTCTTGTGGATCCCAGAAATTGTTAACATTTTAATTTTGTTGTTGTTGTTGTTGAGGGGACAGTCTCACTCCATTGCTCAGGCTAGATTGCAGTGGTGTGATCTCAGCTCACTAAAACCCCCTGGGTTCAAGCGATTCTCCTGCCTCAGCCTCCCAAGTAGCTGGGGTTACAGGTGCATGCCACCAAGCCGGGGTAATTTTTGCATTTTTCAGTAGAGACAGTGTTTCACCATGTTGGTCAGGCTGGTCTCAAACTTGTGACCCCAGGTGATCCACTTGCCTTTGCCTCCCAAAGTGCTGAGCCACTGTGCCTGGCCTACATCTTAAGTTTTTAAAAATTGTGTTTTGCATTTTCTTTTGGGGGAGCAAAGTTTTAAAGGTGGTATAATTCCCAATATTATATTGCCTATGTTTTTCTGATATTATTAAATGACTTTCAAGAGAGTAGATGGTTACCATATTGAGGAACTCAATATATGTCCCAAGTAAATAAAAGCAATAATACTGAATATTACATTAAACCTGGTTGTGAACAATACATAGATGACACTAGTACTCACGGAAATCCATGTTAAAGGATACGTGAGACAAATGTTGTTCGCAGTGCTTCCTCCACTGCTTTGTGTACTACCTGCCGGTGCCATAGATACACGTGCCCTAAAACTGTGTATATTTCATGGTGTTATTCTCAAACAGCTCTTCTACAAATGGAATCCAGGAACTCCTGGGCATGTCTGATATTCTTTTAGGGGTCAACAAGCATCTCCCTTTCCAATGACTACACTAGCAACCGTCAGTATATTTCATTTTTCATATCTCAACCAAAACAGCAAACTTTGACAAAGTTAGTGCAGAAGATGCTATGAGAATTCAGCCATCCTCTATTAAGCCACACATTAAGGAGCTTTGAAAAATTTTTAAATGATGTGACCCTCTTCACATTAATTTTTGCTTTGTTTGAAAATGAACCCTTATTCATAAATATGTGTTACTTGTGTAAGCATGTAATTGACATATTATTTTAAATTAATACACCTGTAAAATTGTATCAGTTTTAATGTAAATGAATTAACAAATGAATATTTTAAAATAATATATATTTTTTTTTTTTTGAGACAGAGTTTCGCTGCTGTTACCCAGGCTGGAATGCAATGGCGCGATCTCAGCTCACTGCAACCTCCGCCTTCTGGGTTCAGGCAATTCTCCTGCCTCAGCCTCCTGAGTAGCTGAGATTACAGGCACGCGCCACCATGCCCAGCTAATTTTTTGTATTTTGAGTAGGGACAGGGTTTCACCATGTTGACCAGGATGGTCTTGATCTCTTGACCTCGTGATCCACCCGCCTCGGCCTCCCAAAGTGCTGGGATTACAGGCTTGAGCCACTGCGCCCAGCCCTGTTTTTAATATATGACATAGTTATGGAAAGTTCTTTGGGGTCTAGTGGTAGGCAGTATTTGAGGGTGGTCCCTAAGTGTACCAACCCTGGGTCAAAACATCTCAAATCCTCTCCCCTTGAGTGAGGACAGAACTCTGAGTATTTCAGGAGTCAGGTGACTTTGAGTTAATAAAGAAATGAGATTATCTGGATGGAAACAGCCTGGGAAGGGGAGTCCTTACCAGGAACCGAGTCCTTCCTGAAGTCAGAGACATGGGACTCAGGAGAGGGCCTGGTAGGGTGGGGGGATGCAGGGCCAGGAGCTTACCATTTCCCCATCAGCAGCAATAGCATAAAGGGCTCAGACACACAGCCACAAGGACATAAACTCTGCCCATGAGCCATGCTTGGGACGTTTATCGGAACCTCACTGGACCTCACTGGGCCTCCAGCCCTGTCAACACCATGAACTCAGCCCTGTGAGATTGTGAGCAGAGGATCCAGCCAAAATGTGCCAGGTATCTGAACCTGGAAGCTGGGCTATGGCAAATCGGTATCATAAGGTCCTAAGCATGTGGTCACTGGTTTTGCAGCAATCAATAACTAGCACACGTCCTCAAATTTTAAAAATAAACATTTTATGAAAATCCCAGAGAACAGTTGTTTTCAAAGAGGCTGGAGTATCCCTTCCAGAGAAGGTCTACTGAATGACCTTAGTAAAGGGGTTTCTAGTACTCTGATGCCATTTCCAAAACATTTAGGCAAGAGAGGAGGAGAAAGGGGCCATTAAGGCTTTTAAACTCTTAGAGAAAATCCACTTTAAACAAAAAATCAAGCACTACGACATCCAAGATGGCACATCTATGCTCCAGAAAGAGAAAAAGATTGACAAGCTCTGTATTAGTACAGTTTATTAAAAACAATCAGTAGATACAAGAATAAATTGGTAACATCAGTATCACTTTTTGGGGAAAAAAGACCAGCAGAAAATTTTAGCTTGGTCACAAAGTAACAATAAACTCCGTGGCAACTTTCCCTACCTCACTGACCATGTGCACGGTACACTGCATTACCCTGGCATAGATTTGGTTTTCTGATACCACTCTCCACTAAAAGAGGCCCGGCATCTTTGGAGAACAATGTGTTTGGGTAAGAAAAATTCCAGATAACCATAGAACTTCCTGTTTTTATGATAAAACAAGGACCATTTCAGAGATGTTAGAGGGACCAATTAAGCGATGTGAAAGGGACTCCTCCTGGCCAATGGCCACAACCTGAGCTACAGACATTAATAAAAACACTTTTTTTGAAGCCAACAATAATTTCAGTGGGAATCCAGTGACTCTGGAAAATGCCACGTGTCCATGAAGACGTGCAAGAGACAAACAGCAAAGTGCGACAGAACAGCTTGTGCCCAGCCTGTAAGTCAAGGAATGGCTGAGAGCTTATGAAACAAGCGTGTGGCCTGAGACAGTTGCATATGTGAAGATAAGTTATGTGTAGTGGTCGAGTGTTTACTGCACTCCATGTCAGAAACACCAGAATACAGTATACAAAACTAGAGGCAGGGAAACAGATACAGAATTTCCGAGGCTGGAGGCAGAAACCCTGTTCAAAGAAAGCAGAGTTCTAACTTTGCTTTCTTCCCCAAAATGAGATTAATACCTTGCTACTAACCAGTTTAGTTCAGGAATGAGGATTTGGCTAACATTCCCTTAAATAGAAGGCTCTCCATTGTACATGAAAATTCTTCTGGAACAGTCTTTGAGCTGTGAGCATGGAAGATTGTCGCACAGCAAATACCAGTTAGCATGACCCTGTTCTAGGAAGACAAGGACCCCGTAGCTGGGCATCCCTGGGAAATTAGAAAGACAAGAAAAAGCTGTACTGGGCTGTGGCAGCTGCAGAAGCCCCTTGTAAAACCGCACCCCTCAGGAGTTAACAGGTGTCTGTTTTTTAAGATCCTATTTCTGGTTTGAAATAGACAAAACGTTGGCTGGAAGAGTCTAAAATAGGTCAAAGGTTCGGTTCCTGACTCTTTCTCCTAATCTCTCCTTACTGGTAATAATGCTGGAATCTCCAGGTGACAAACTGACGTGCAAGGATGAAGACATCTGTGCATTACTGGCAAGGATGTGGGGAAGTGGGGCATTTGCTAAATGGCAAAGGTGTGAGAGAGGAATGCCAATGCAACCTCAATGACTATGTCATTAACCGCCCAAACCAGGACACTGTTCAGAGGGACAAGAAATCATTAATAAGCACCCTGGAAAACAGGCTTCAGGCAGGGCTATCTTGGAGAAACAGGGACAATGTTTGTTATGATTATGAAAACTTTAAGCTCCTTGAGGTCAGCAGTATTCCTGATTTATCTCTGTGTTCCTGGTGAAGAGTCTGTGGGCTGTGTTTCATTAACATTTGTTCTGTTAAAAGTTGAATTAAGATTATCAAAGATAGTGAAACATTCATGCTTTTGTCTTTTTTGTTTCTTACTCTGATGTATTCTTACTAATCTGTATTTTATAAGATGTACACCGTTCTAACTAGTTTTTATGCCTAATTTTCTGCATACAATCAAGTAAAGATTATATATTAGATACATCTGAATCAGAGGGCTCTGAACAATACTAGCATTTAAAAATTTTTCTATTTATTCATATTTGATGTGAAACTCAAAGCTTTATCTGCTTACCTTGTACCTAAGAGAATAATCATCTCCTTTTTCAAGACAGTCATTATTTGAGAACACAGTATCTTCAGCATTAATACTATTTCCCAAGATCCTAATTAGAACTCTTGAATAGCCTGTCTATGGAATAAGTGTTACCTTTTTACACATAGGCTTGTATTTGTCTTTGAGCTGATTTGAAATAACGTTTGAAAAATAGATCGTTAACAAGTAAAAGACAACATCAAATGCCTAATCCAGCAGCAGTGTGGTTTAAGTATGTCACATGACAATACAATTCACCACTGTAATGGAAAGACATGCCATTTGGTTGTACTTTTGATCTAGAGGACTATGATAGATGATGGCTCCCCTGGAGGAGCTCACCATTGACAGCAGGCATCTAGAAGAACCTAGGATGCCGTGTCATTTGAGGGTGCATCCCTCGTTGCTCACCTCGACAGCTTGGCTTCTCTTCTCCTATGTTCCACGTCCCATTGGCCTGGCACTGCACGAGCCTCCGGCCCTCTAAGTAGTAACCGGGACTGCAGCTCAGCAGTACTTGAGCACCGAACTCATTCAAGGATCCTGAAACCAGCCTCCAGATGACATGTTCTGAGAGCTGAGCTTCAATACTGGGGCAAGGGACCGCTGGAAGAGAAACATATAGCACATCATCATTTTTCTTTTTTTGGAAAAGGTCAGAGCATGCTTGCTGTGAATGGCAAGGTCTTGCTATAGAAAACGGATCTTCTTGGGCAAAGTCGACGCCGTCACATATTATCTCAGCATTTCCTTACCACCCACATAGTCATGTGGGAATGATCCAATATGTAAAATGCATTCAACTGCCTCATGACAGATGTGTTGGGAAGCCTGCAGTCAGACTGAACTGTAAAAGCGGTAAATCACTTCCACGGATGTATATGGCTCACTGGAGTTGATGAAAATTTTCATGACGGTAATGAGCACATGCAAATAAAAATCTTACATATAATTTCCCTCAATATCCTTGGAGGAACTCAGAATAGTAATTGTGTAATTGCAAACCAGCTGGGAAAATAATTTTCAGAAAATCAGATGCCTTCATTTCTTTCTCCCTATGAAACATGCATATATATCTATATATCATTGACTATAGAAACATACAGAAATACATAGGTACTATGTATTTCTAAAACTGTTCAGTACAATGTTTAACAAGTCTCGAATGAGACCATCTGCTCGTATCCTTAGAAAAGGGCCTAGAAGATAGCAGTTACTTAAGAGCCAGTGGTAACAATTGTAATAGCAGTAACAACAGGGTGGACTTCAAGGACTTCGTAAATATACTGAAATACATGCAAAGTCTTAGTTATATGTTAGTGTATATTTTTTGAAAAGTACAAGATGATTTAAAATTATACAAAATTAGAAACCACAATCAATTCTCTAATTATGAAGCATCAGTAACTGTCATCTGTCACAATTTACCACCAAGAAAATTGATCAAATTGATGAATGTATTGAGCTAGGAAGAATTAGCTGGAGAGACCATAGCTTTCTTCAGAATCATAGTAGGATACTTTGCATTTAAATCTACTTTTTTTTAAGACAAAGTCTTGCTGTCTCTCTCAGGCCTCAGGGCTGGATGGCAGTGGTATGATCTCGGCTCACTGCAACCTCCACCTCCCAGGTTCAAGCAGTTCTCCTGCCTCAGCCTCGCAAGTAGCTGGGACTATGGGATTACAGATGCCCACCACCATGCCCAGCTAATTTTTGTATTTTTAGGAGAAATGGGGTTTCGACATGGGGGCCAGTCTGGTCTTGAACTCCTGACCTCAAGTGATCCACCCACCTTAGCCTCCCAAAGTGCTGGAATTACAGGTGTGAGCACTGCACCCAGCCTACATTCAAATTCTATACGAGATTCTTATAATTGAGTCAGGCATAACCAAAATGTTTACAAAAATCTTTTTCAGTTTTTTTCTCAGTAATTTACAAGAGCTCTATAAAAATATACTGAAAAACATAGGCCTTTTTGATATCACAATAACAATGAAGTTTAAAATGTGAAAAAAATGCTAATTTAAAAGTAATCCTTAGGTTTATTTCTCTCAAATTTTTTTTTTTAGTTGAAGCAGTTATTCTAAATTTATATGAATACTCAAATGTTTAATCCAATGAGAAAAACATTTTTCTCCAGCCAAAATACTCTTAGAATTTCTGGAAAAACTCATTTCTCAAAAGTCCTTAAAAGCTTTAACCTTATAAATTCATAACTCAACGTGAATCTCACTGCATATTTCAAATAAAATGCATTTAATTTCATCAAAAATGCGTGCTTCTAGAATTGTTTTTGATAACATAAACTACCTTTTACAAAGTATTTCTGGCAAGAACAATTCAACTTTGTTCTTTGGTTTTTGCTTGTTTATTTGTTTTTCTTGTTTTTATATAGATGAAGTCTTGTTCTGTGGCCCGGGCTGGTCCTGAAAATGGCCTTCGGTTTGGTTTGTAATTATCTTAGGCTAGTTTGTTTGCTTACATCTCTTTTACGGCTACGCTGTAGGTTCATTTAATGTCTTTTCACAATCTTTTTAGTACAGTGTGTGACAAATTAGATACTGTATGTGTATATAATACGTATTTTATATGTATATATCTTTATGTGGGTATGCTTTGAAAAAATAGCCTGCCAAAAAATGTTGCCACAGAAAGAGGAATTAATCCTGTATGAGTGGAAATTAAGAGTAGAAAGAAAAGTGAGGACTGCATAAATACTAAAGTTCATCTTGTCCTTTTTTAACTGGAAGATGAGAGTTGAAGACTGGAGATTTCCAAAAGTTGATGCAGACAATATTTTCAAAAAATGATAGGTAGAGGACATACAAAAAATGGAGTTTGAATACTCTATGATGATGTAATTTGGGAGGAGAAATTCCAAATAATACAAACCAAGAGAATGTGAGACCATTTTCCTGAGGCATGGTAAAAAATGTCCAGTCTTGTTAGCTGTGACTCCATGCTCACCTGCATTCACACACAAACAATGCCAATAGCTTCCAGGGAATAATGGGCCCTGATTTGCTGCTGTTCTCAATAAGGCTGTCACAAAGAATATCCTTTATCTTGACCCAATGCAATAATGTGGCAAAATCTGACGACAGAAGTGTGCGAGGGAATACGGAATTCAAATAAAAACACAGCATTCTGCAACCTCCAAATTCCTACCCTAGCGTACAGATTCACATATCTGTAAGTAGTGTCTAGTCACTCATATCAGAAGCCTGAAAACTGTGTCTTCCTGCACTCCGTTTCACACCCTTCCCCAAGGTGTCTACACTGAACCTCCCCTAGTGCCTGCACTCCGTTTCACACCCTTCCCCAAGGTGTCTACACTGAACCTCCCCTAGTGTCTGCACTCCGTTTCACACCCTTCCCCAAGGTGTCTACACTGAACCTCCCCTAGTGTCTGCACTGCCTTTCACACACCCTTCCCCAAGGTGTCTACACTGAACCTCCCCTAGTGCCTGCACTGCCTTTCACACACCCTTCCCCAAGGGTGTCTACACTGAACCTCCCCTAGTGTCTGCACTGCCTTTCACACACCCTTCCCCAAGGTGTCTACACTGAACCTCCCCTAGTGTCTGCACTGCCTTTCACACACCCTTCCCCAAGGGTGTCTACACTGAACCTCCCCTAGTGTCTGCACTCCGTTTCACACCCTTCCCCAAGGTGTCTACACTGAACCTCCCCTAGTGTCTGCACTGCCTTTCACACACCCTTCCCCAAGGTGTCTACACTGAACCTCCCCTAGTGTCTGCACTCCGTTTCACACACCCTTCCCCAAGGTGTCTACACTGAACCTCCCCTAGTGTCTGCACTGCCTTTCACACACCCTTCCCCAAGGTGTCTACACTGAACCTCCCCTAGTGTCTGCACTGCCTTTCACACACCCTTCCCCGAGGGTGTCTACACTGAACCTCCCCTAGTGTCTGCACTGCCTTTCACACACCCTTCCCCGAGGGTGTCTACACTGAACCTCCCCTAGTGTCTGCACTGCCTTTCACACACCCTTCCCCAAGGTGTCTACACTGAACCTCCCCTAGTGTCTGCACTCCCTTTCACACACCCTTCCCCAAGGTGTCTACACTGAACCTCCCCTAGTGTCTGCACTCCCTTTCACACACCCTTCCCCAAGGTGTCTACACTGAACCTCCCCTAGTGTCTGCACTGCCTTTCACACACCCTTCCCCAAGGGTGTCTACACTGAACCTCCCCTAGTGCCTGCACTCCCTTTCACACACCCTTCCCCAAGGGTGTCTACACTGAACCTCCCCTAGTGTCTGCACTGCCTTTCACACACCCTTCCCCGAGGGTGTCTACACTGAACCTCCCCTAGTGTCTGCACTGCCTTTCACACACCCTTCCCCGAGGGTGTCTACACTGAACCTCCCCTAGTGTCTGCACTCCCTTTCACACACCCTTCCCCAAGGTGTCTACACTGAGCCTCCCCTAGTGTCTGCACTCCCTTTCACACACCCTTCCCCAAGGTGTCTACACTGAACCTCCCCTAGTGTCTGCACTGCCTTTCACACACCCTTCCCCGAGGGTGTCTACACTGAACCTCCCCTAGTGTCTGCACTCCCTTTCACACACCCTTCCCCAAGGTGTCTACACTGAATCTCCCCTAGTGTCTGCACTCCCTTTCACACACCCTTCCCCGAGGGTGTCTACACTGAACCTCCCCTAGTGCCTGCACTGCCTTTCACACACCCTTCCCCAAGGTGTCTACACTGAACCTCCCCTAGTGCCTGCACTCCCTTTCACACACCCTTCCCCGAGGGTGTCTACACTGAACCTCCCCTAGTGCCTGCACTCCCTTTCACACACCCTTCCCCGAGGGTGTCTACACTGAACCTCCCCTAGTGCCTGCACTCCCTTTCACACACCCTTCCCCAAGGGTGTCTACACTGAACCTCCCCTAGTGTCTGCACTGCCTTTCACACACCCTTCCCCGAGGGTGTCTACACTGAACCTCCCCTAGTGTCTGCACTGCCTTTCACACACCCTTCCCCGAGGGTGTCTACACTGAACCTCCCCTAGTGTCTGCACTGCCTTTCACACACCCTTCCCCGAGGGTGTCTACACTGAACCTCCCCTAGTGTCTGCACTGCCTTTCACACACCCTTCCCCGAGGGTGTCTACACTGAACCTCCCCTAGTGTCTGCACTCCCTTTCACACACCCTTCCCCAAGGTGTCTACACTGAATCTCCCCTAGTGCCTGCACTGCCTTTCACACACCCTTCCCCGAGGGTGTCTACACTGAACCTCCCCTAGTGTCTGCACTCCCTTTCACACACCCTTCCCCAAGGTGTCTACACTGAACCTCCCCTAGTGCCTGCACTCCCTTTCACACACCCTTCCCCAAGGTGTCTACACTGAATCTCCCCTAGTGTCTGCACTCCCTTTCACACACCCTTCCCCGAGGGTGTCTACACTGAATCTCCCCTAGTGCCTGCACTGCCTTTCACATACCCTTCCCCAAGGTGTCTACACTGAGCCTCCCCTAGTGTCTGCACTCCCTTTCACACACCCTTCCCCAAGGTGTCTACACTGAACCTCCCCTAGTGTCTGCACTCCCTTTCACACACCCTTCCCCAAGGTG